GGTATCTTTGATGACACAACTCCACAATTTTCCTTATTATCTTGACTGCACTGTGGTGTTGAAATTTGATATGTCCCATCAGCTATTTTTTGCCAGATAGCATCAACATCAGTACCAGTTGACTGACCTTGATCAGGGGCACTACATTCCACTCTTACTTCATCACAAGGAATTTCCTCTGAATTTGCATTATTTGCTGCTTTTTCATTAGTAGTCTCTTCATCACAACATCCAACACCTACTGCAGCCTCATGTGGGGCTGATTCAACATTCATGGCTGATGGAATTAATGATCCAGCTGTGGTATTTTGTAAAATCTTTTCACTGGAATGTGGTGTAGAAGCTCTTGTTTCCCATCACCTGTTTTAACCATCAAACTTTTGTACCTGCTGTCAGAACTGGTTCAATTGCATTACATTCTGGCCTTAATTCATTACAAGGATCTCGCAATAAAATTCCAGTGCCTGGTACAGCTTCTCCATTAACTTGTGCTGGATGAACTGAGTCAATATCCATAGCTAATGATATTGAATCAACATGTGCTCGACCTTCATTGTCACTCTCCTTATTTGGTGCCAGATCAACTTTAAAAGGGCTAGATGTTGTTTAGAGGATGTACAAATACAATATCTCTACCAGATTGTTAGGATTTAAAAACATAATCTGAAGCATGGACACAAAATAAACGAGACTTAATCAGCACGGATGGCTAGGAAGTCCAGACACACATCTTCAAAAGCAGCAAAATGAAGAATCATGAATCATATGAAAGTAGAAGGGAAATGACTTTAACCTTTGGATTTGAGACAATAACTCCAAAAGCACTAAAAGTGTCATATAGAAGCTTCTCATCAACATCCTGCATATAAAACAGAAGTGGATTTATAAGCTAACAGAACTGCTAGCATGAGCAGTGTGATAATATGCAGGTGATGTTATACACCTAAATAAAAGCTGATATCCTATGTCTACGTCCAGACACTTTGGATAAGAATAGCACAAGAGTTAGTAAAATACTGTCAAAGATATCTACTGCTTACAGGATCAAGGTTCCCAACAAACAAGTTGGCACCAACATCAACACTCTTTTTATCTTGTGATGCCTGTACGAGGATAACTTATTAGATTAAATAGAATGTGAAATATGTGGGACAATTCATTATAGAAAGGGGAGATGCATCAATGGCATAGCATTACCTTATTCACTCTTATTGGTTTCCCATAAAGTTTAATCATATTCAGTACCTTTATTGCCTGCATTGGTAGTGCTTTAGAGAGAGAAAACAAGGAATAGGAAAACCAAATCCATGGTAAAAGATTATAACAGATAACGAGACACTAGCAAGTAAAAAGAGAGTAACAAGAAAAACAACTAACACATACATAGTCAGCATCTTCTTCACTTCGGAATTCCACAAAGCCATATCCCTGATGAGCATTAGTAACTCTGTCCTTAGGGACATAAACATTGACTGCAACACATAATGATTTATATAGCGAACAAGTGAGATTTAAAAGAATCTAAATTTCCCAAAAGATTAAGAAAAAGGATAAGAAGATGCTGATGAAAAATTTAAAACCAAAGTGGATGTTAAACAAATTTATCAAGAAGCTCCACTGATTTACTCCCTTTTTATGGGGACAGGGGGTTCAGTTAAAAATTTAGACATACCTACTGGACCTGCTTGAACAAACAACTCCCATAACAACTCTTCAGAAACCTGAATCCAGGGAAAACAACTCTCAATTTTCTGAGTAATTCAACCTTGAAAGCAAAGCAAAACAAAACTACAAAAGCAGAAAAGCAGGGAGGAGTTTGTGGAAGGTACACCAGCATCAAATTGGAGCAACAACTGGAAAAAGATGTTTCATTTATAGGAGGAAGCTAGTCATACTAAGGTTAATGATATTGGAAGGAGCAAAAAAACCTAAATCTATCAGCATAAAAGGAAAAAGAAGCACAAACTATTGCGGGAGATAATTATTCACACCAGAGAAGAAGTTCAGCATTAATGGTGGCAAATGGACATGTTGGGTCAATTTTGGGCGGGTTAAAACTGTGTTATCCCATTTTATACTTTCGCGAAGCTTAGTAAATTTAAAAGGAAAAGCTTTTACATGTATTCTTAGTGTCACACTGAGTCTTCGCGTTGTGTTTGAATCAGCTGCTTTTCTATTTAGTTAAGGAAGATCGAATAGAGTGGTGGAAAAGGATAAAACCCTAGGGGATTAGAAGGAATGAAAGAGATACCTGAGGGTCGAGGTTGCCGACATAGGCGGTGGCGTCTTGGTTGCGCTCCGCTGCGTGTTGGCCCAGCAGGTTTGCTCCCACTCCCGGAGCTATACGAGTCGTCATACTCAGAAAGAAGAATGCTCTGTGCAAGCAAACACTAAACAACACAAAGGCCCAAAAATAAAGGGCCAAATATCCAAATTCTCAACCGGGTCGGGTTATAAGTACGGCTTCTGCTATCCTCCAGTATAACGCAAAAGCCTTGGGCCCACTCCGGCCGGCGAGATAGGGCTTCCGTGAGAAGGCCGATCAATTGCTTTCCGACTCCGGTTTGTATTCCGACGTCATTCCCGGTACGTTATGTATACAATGATTTTATTAATTTGATTTTTTGCCGTCCTTCATGCACCAATAATACGGAAAAAATATTATAATATTATAAAAAGAAATTAAGGTGCTTGCTAGAATTATTATATAAAAAGATAGGATAAAAGATAAAATTGTTATAAATAGAATTCTATTAAAGGTGAATCTCTATATTTTAGAGAGATTGTAGGGATTACTTATAAATAGAGGGGTCATATTCCANATAACTTGATGATTCCATTTCTATAAAATCATCAAAAAAAACATATTACAAATAAGATAATAAACACAATCAGAATCCCAGTATATATATGAGAAATAAATTATCAAAATAACTCATTCACTAAAATGAACAGAAGAACAGTCTATAGATTGCAGTTTTCCAGCATAATATACTGGATCAGACTAAAATACAAGATATGAAAATCGAAAAATAGCATAATAATCATGCGGTATAATATACTGGAGAAAAAAGCTTACACACAGGAGAAACTCTGTAAAATATACTGGACTTAAAAAATACTTGTCTATATTATAATATTCATTCAGTATAACATACTGGAAGCCAAACATTCATATGATAGATGTCCCCCTATAATAATCTATCCTAAACAGAACTCGTCCAGTATAATATACTGGAGAAAAATATTAAACACAGGTGGTGTCCTGTATATTATACTGGATTGAAACAATACTCAACTATATGCTAGACCAAATTCAACTTGTCCAGTATAATATACTGGAGAAAAAAAATTACACACACGTGATGTCCTGTATATTATACTGGATTGAAACAAAACTCAACTATATGCTAGCCCAAACTCAACTCCTCCAGTATAATATAATCGAAAAAAAGATTACACACAGGTGATGTCCTGTATATTATACTGGATTGAAACAACTGAACTATATGCTATCCCAAACTCAACTCCTCCAGTATAATATAATGGAAAAAAAGATTACACACAGGTGATGTCCTGTATATTAAAACTCAATTATATGCTAGACCAAACTCAACTCCTCCAGTATAATATAATGGAAAAAAAGATTACAAACAGGTGATATCCTGTATATTATACTGCATTGAAACAAAACTCAACTATATGCTAGACCAAACTCAACTCCTCCAGTATAATATAATGGAAAAAAAGATTACACACAGGTGATGTCCTGTATATTATACTGGATTGAAACAAACTCAACTATATGTTATCATCCCAAACTCAACACGTCCAGTATAATATACTGGAGAAAAAGATTACACACAGGTGGTGTCCTGTATATTATACTGGATTGAAACAAAACTCAACTATATGCTATCCCAAACTCAACTCCTCCAGTATAATATAATGGAAAAAAAGATTACACACAGGTGATGTCCTGTATATTAAAACTCAATTATATGCTAGACCAAACTCAACTCCTCCAGTATAATATAATCGAAAAAAAGATTACACACAGGTGATGTCCTGTATATTATACTGGATTGAAACAACTCAACTATATGCTATCCCAAACTCAACTCCTCCAGTATAATATAATGGAAAAAAAGATTACACACAGGTGATGTCCTGTATATTAAAACTCAATTATATGCTAGACCAAACTCAACTTCTCCAGTATAATATAATGGAAAAAAAGATTACACACAGGTGATGTCCTGTATATTATACTGGATTGAAACAAAACTCAACTATATGCTAGACCAAACTCAACTCCTCCAGTATAATATAATGGAAAAAAAGATTACACACAGGTGATATCCTGTATATAATATACTGGATTGAAACAAAACTCAACTATATGCTAGACCAAACTCAACTTGTCCAGTATAATATTCTGGAGAAAAAAATTACACACAGGTGGTGTCCTGTATATTATACTGGATTGAAACAAAACTCAACTATATGCTATCCCAAACTCAACACCTCCAGTATAATATAATGGAAAAAAGATTACACACACGTGATGTCCTGTATATTATACTGGATTGAAACAAAACTCAACTATATGCTAGACCAAACTCAACTCGTCCAGTATAATATACTGGAGAAAAAGATTACACACATGTGATGTCCCGTATATTATACCGGATTGAAACAAAACTCAACTATATGCTAGACCAAACTCAACTCCTCCAGTATAATATAATGGAAAAAAAAATTACACACAGGTGATATCCTATATATTATACTGGATTGAAACAAAACAAAATAATATATGCTAGAACAAAGTGATAAAATTATCAGAAACAAAACAAAATAATGAACACAAAAAATAATTATTTAAACCCTAACGGTACGGTAAATCAAACATAAACATAACGAAACAACAATAAGAACGTGAATCAAACACATTATTGTAAAAACAAAACTCACCCAGAGAATTTTGAAGAAAATTAGAGCTAAAACGATCAAGGATTCGAAAAAAGTGCTCTGACGAAAGCCGCACGCGCTGCTGTGCAAACAAAGAGTAAAAAGTTACTAAAGAGTATGTTAAAGCGTGCAAGGGCAATAATGTCATTTTACATTCTATTTTAAGTTAAAATGGCTAGAAATCAATGACATCACGGACGATGGCTATTTTTCGATAGCCACCCGTAAAAGTGGCTATGCCACGCTATTTTGACTAATTTAAAAGCCAAGTTTTGACCCGATCTGCTGTTACTATTACACCTATGGTTCTTATCTGAGTCCGGAACTAAAATGTGGTTCATTTGGACTCAAAGAACAAAATTAAATGGAAAAAAAACATAATGACCAAAATATATATAGCGTCTTTTTAAAAGACGATATACCTTAACGAACTTTTGGCCAGTTAAGCACTACTAGAATTCCTGCAAAAAGCGACCAAACTTTAGCGACCAAAGCTGGTCCGACAAGAAAAGCGACCAAAGTTGGTCGCTAAACTGGTGAAAATAATAAAATAATGATTTTAAATAAATTAGCGACCAACGTTGGTCGCCACTTGGTCGAAAATTTTGTCAAACTGTTGACCGGACTGGTCAGACTTGCTTGGTCAAAGAATTACTCAGATTAGCACCAACGTTGGTCGCTTCATGGGACCCACTTATTAAATTTTAATAATTATAATATTATTTTTAAAAAATAATAAAATATAAATAAATAAAATTCAAAATTAGCGACCAAAGTTGGTCGTTATATAAAGAGTAAACAGATTGAGACCAACTTTGGTCGCTAATTTGGAACCCAGTTATAAAATTTTAATAATTATAATTTTGTTTAAAAAAAATTATAAAATATAAATAAATATAATTCAACTTTAGCGACCAATGTTGGTCGCTCAGTAGAATATAGACCAACTTTGTTCGCTAACCTGGGACCCAGTTAATATCTTAAATATTATATGAAAGATAAATAAATTTGATTTAAGTTTAGCGTCCAACTTGGGTCGCTAATTTAAATTATGTATATTTAGCGACCAAAGTTGGTCGCTATTTAGGTCAACATTGGTCAAAATTAAAAATTACTTTTGTATTTACTAAATAAATAATATAAATGTTAGCCGTTAACACTTTTGTAATACAAGGGATGAATAGTACTACGAAGCGTGCGTGTGTGTCTATATATAATATTATATCGAATGTAGCTTTTATATATATAATATACATACTTACGCTATACTATGCACTAAGAATAAGTGTATTAGGTAATGTTATATCGAATATAGCTTATATATATAATATACATATATATATATATATACTTACGCTATACTATGCACTAATTATTAGTGTAACTCAACTCGTCCAGTATAATATACTGGAGAAAAAAATTACACACAGGGTGGTGTCCTGTATAT